ACTTGACCTGACCTTGCAGTCTGAAATCAAGGGAACCTTCTGGTGGCCTGGACTCTCTTCAGGTCCATCTGTGAAAATGGCACTGTGCCACTGCTTACAAGGTGGGGTGCAAGATTCTACAGTGCACAGGAAGCAAACCCAGGGCAGGCAGCAGCCCCTCAAACAGGAACTCGAGCTATGCACAGCCAGGAGAAATCACACAATAGCTTTTTTTTTTTTTTTTTTTGACAATTAATATTAAGTGAAAAGCATTATAAAAATAAATGTGTGGAATAGCAAGATGGTAAAGGCACTTGAGACTCTCTGTCTCTAGATCATGAGATCAAATCCTTTTCATATCAGTTACAGCTAGAAAAGGAGAAAAATGTAAAAACTCTCTTATTCTTAGACTTTTTGTATGATTTTATGCAAAATATCCACCTTTTCCTGCCCTTATGACTTCTTTGTGCAGAGCTAAAAGAATACTGCTTAGCAGTAAGACATTTTAGATAAGCAAAGATGGAATACATTGATTCAGGCATGATCCACCATTCTCTGAAGTCAGCTGGAAGCTTCTCAATCATTTAACATATTTTGAATTAAGCCCTGGAGTAGTAATTATACCGTGTATGAAAAACACATTAGACAGAAATCATTTAGGTAGACATATTTCAAATGGTTAAATACATGATCGAATTTACTTAGATTTATGGAGCTGCACATGTCTACACAGAAGTTTGCAGGTTTAGGATTAGATAGGCATCTTTCAAGAGGCAAGCCCTGAAGCTATAAAAACCATTGCTCAGTGGAAAGTGTGTAGAAGTTCTCACTCTCACTATGCTGTTATTGCCTGCTAAAAACGTTTTTTTTTACCAGAGTTAATGGGAAATGAGTAATTTTTCATAACTAAAGATTCCTTTCTGCTAGAGAAATCCAAGGAAGAGCACTGATCTCTGTTGCCTTGACAACATTTCCTGAAACACTCAAGCATAAAAGTATCCAGTACGCTCAAGAAAGTTGCAATATCTATTTCATATTGGACATTTAGCACATTTATTGTGTTAGCATGCCCTCATCTATCATCTGTGAGTATTTGTCACAGAAAGCAATGTGCCAAAAAATACATTAGAAATATCTGAGCTGACTTAAATACACATGGTATTTTTCTTGAATATTTCCATGGCTACTGAAAGTTGTTACATCTATGGCCAAGAAAAAAAAAACATTCTTCCATGATTTGTGGATATTAGTAAAATAAGTCCTATTTTTCTCCTAATGCATTCCTTAAATGAGCAAAGGGATCACCTCTACAGAGTGGCTGGAGGGAGTCCATCCTTGAATCTGAGAGTCTGAACCCAAACCTTGGCTTTTCTGGTGGGTTTTGTTGAGGGTGCTACAGGGGAACCCTCTGAGGGTGCTTCTATAGCTGCTTCTGAGATGAAGACTCTTAGGTCCACATAAGGAGTGGCTGCTCATTGTAGGAGACTGAAAAATCTGACTTTCTCAGAGGGGCTAAAGCCATACTGAGGGACAAAATAAGAAGGAATTACAAGTCTGAAATGTTGCAAAGAATCCCAATTTCTCTTTAAATAAAAATAGATAAATAAGTGAAATAGGCTTTTAGTGGTAAAACAGACAACATCAGCCTCTGTGAACACAAAGCTAACTTTCATGTTTTCATCTCCCTTCAGTTTTTCTACAGACTGCCTTAGATGCAATAAGAATAAGCAGAAAATAAAGCAGCACCAAAATGGCTTGCTGCTAATTCCTTCTGATCCATTAGAGGGAAGTGTTTGTACACGATGTGCCATAGAACTCCCTTCAGTCGCTTCTAATAATTTCTTTGGATGAAGATGATGAGATAGCATACTCTGCTTCTGACATAATGAATTATTTTATTGACAAATAAAATGAGATCTACAGTTCACTGTATTTACTACAGGACATTTGCTGTACAATCATTTTTATTAACAAAGGCAAAATACAAAGTGTTTTGGGTTTTTTTCTAACTGCATGTTAGTATGTATAATTTGGGCTGGGCAGACATAACCTCTACCTAAACAATTCCTCTAAGTGTGCTAACAAGAATATGGTTTCCTTGTCAAGGGGCAAACAGCAGGACAAGAGACAACCCACATGATATGAATCATCAAAAATGCCCAAATTTTCCAAAGCAACATTGCCAAAGAAAACAAAGAGGGAAGATAGTACTCCTCCCGTGAGAATCTCAAGCTTCATCTAAATTAAACCTTCAGGTGAACTGAAAGGTTGTGGGTGATTTCCAGTACAGGATAAGGAGATTGTTAATTGTCCTGCCTCAAACAGGTCTGCAGCCTTCTCTGAGCTGTGGCATCCTGTTCTGTGAATTATCTCCTGTGGCTGCTTCTGACATCTCATCTCCGTTACTACCAGAGGATTTATGTCACGCTCTGACCCCATCCTTTAGATGACCTCTCCTGCCCAAAGGGGACACTTGTGCTGACACACGGTTTTCTCATGCTAGCTTTTGATTTACTAGTTCCTTGAGTCATATTTAGAGTAATTTTTAAACTGCCCCTTTGGAACTGTGCATCTCTGACAGCGAGAAACCACGAAACAAGCCCACAGTTCTCATAAACTGCTCTGATTGTTGAGCATAGCTGCTCACCTGTATCTTCCAAACTTTTCCAGCACCACTTAAAAGACACAGAGTGTCTGAATGTCTCTCCTGCAGCTGCATTCCCAGGTGATACTCTGAGAACTTTTATCATGTTTTATCATGGATGGACTATCCAAGTTGCTAATACACACTGAAATTCAGTTAAGCCAGTGTCTCAATGGTCTCCCTGGCTACACAATGCTATTTTTTTTGGTGAAAATTTCTAACGAATTGGCCAGCCTACACCTTACAGACAGCAGTCAGAACATTATACAACTTCTACAGGCCTTTCAGGAGTTTGGCCTGGTATGTGCTAAGAACCACTGCTGCCCTCTGCTGCAGCATTTTGGGTTGTGTCTTTGATAACCAGTGAGAGCCACAAATACTCAAGTAAAATTTATAGTCTTAACCAGAATTTAGCATGCTTAATGTTTCCATTACTGACAAGATCATTAAAAACTCTGTTTCTAATTCATCAGAGAAGTCTGATACTGCAGGGGCCAGGTCAAATAGAAAAAACTTTATCTTTTTTATCTGATTTTGACTCTTAGAAGAGGAACACCCTTGCAAGAGTTTGGACATGCTTCCTTTATGCAGTAAATGATGTCTCATCTTCTAATAAATAAATAAATAATAATAATAAATAGCCATAGAAGTATAAGAACTATGAAGTGAGAAACTCACCTTGCGGCCAAAATGAGCACCAAGGTTCTGCCCTGGATACATCTCTGATAACTTGAACGTTATCTTAAATTATGATGGACAGCCAAGTTCCAGGTCAATTGAACTAATCTTTCCTTAGTCTCAGTTTATCCAGTTCTGATGGGATACAGCTCATGATCCCTCAAACTACTATGTTTCTTCACTGATGCTAGGAAGAGTAACATGAGTGCAACTTTGCTATATTCAACTATACAAAATGCTCCAGACAGAAATAGTTTATTTCTTCCCAGCTCTCCACAGACTCCAAAACACTCTCTTTTGTCATTTTCATCTGAATAGGTTGCATTGTTTATTGGTGAGAACAACTGTCATGTACCCCTAAAATAATTTTAAAACTATCTTATGTTTCCCAATCCCACAAATCTAATTACTGTGCTTCCTGCACAGCATTGCAACTACAGTGTCTCCAATCCATAATCATAAATTGCAAAAACTCATCAGTAGACAGGAATAGATAAGCAGATGGTGGCAGGCCAGAAGAAGAAAGCCAGAGACACAGCCTTCCTGCTCAGGGGACAACTCAGGCTGCTCTCAGTAATTATCTGTGCAAGTCTCCAAAGGAATTAGATACCGATTTCAAAGGAGGCAGGCTAAGAGTTTGGCTAATGAAGGAACTGTACATCCTTCCAGTGCATCCTTCAAAATGCACATGATGTCCACACGAGCTCTGAGTCCCTCATGGTGACTGCTTCATATTCTGAATGCTGAACCAGAGAAACCTCCACAACTAAAACCACAATACCATTTTATGCCAAACCTGAAACTTCTTACAATAGGGCTGACACAGTCTTACATTTGTAGTAGATGGGACACAAAGAAGGGAACCTGTAATACACTTTCACTAGCAACTTCCAGTTGCTTTTATTTTTTGTGATATTTTCAGGTTTATTTTCAGTTATTCAGTGAAAAACATACACTCCAGCTCCTGAGCTGAGCTCAAAGCTTAGGTTCTGTCCACTGAGCATAGTCTCCTACAGGGACAAGAAATAAGTTTTGCTTCTCATATCTCACTGACAAGGAAGGTCCCCTGCATTTTGGTCCCCTAATTCAATAATGACACAGAGGAATCCATGCATCGTTCAAGCATTCCAGCTCAAAGGGGACTAAACACAGCCATGAGAGATGGAGGCTGGTACTGACATCTCTAGAAAGATTTGACTGGTTTCAATGAGAATGTTGAGGACTCCAATAAGAGTCAGCAAAGGAGATTATTCAGATGGTTTCTGTCTTCTCATTTCTGAACACATAATTTACCTCTCCAGCACATTTCTCCCTCTCACCTTCTCAGCATCATTTAGATCATGTATAAATCTCACGTTGTAAGTTTCAGCAAACTTATGACAAACTGATTCCAGTACTCAAATTCTGTAAATGTATCAAATCTCACATAGAATAAGCAGAGCAACAGGTTTTGCAGATCACCATGAAAAGAGAAAAACAGAAACCACAGATCCATAGAAACTAGTCCAATTAATTCCATATCACACACTTTTCCTGATGACAGCAAAACTAAAACACTGAAAATAATTCTGAAAATCAGCAACTTTGTTCTAAAATCAGCAGGAAGCCTTTATATGAGAATTTTTGTATTCTCTGCAGTTGCATGAGGACATAATGGGTGGCTCAATTCTTCATAAACTCTACTTCACAAAACACCTACCTCTAGGACTTTCCCAGTAATGAACTGGTGACATGCTTCACACTTGACTCCAAAAAGAACTTGGTAGTCCTTCTCACAGTAAGGAGCACCATCTCTGAAAAAGAAAATTCACAAATTACAAACCACTTGTTATTAAACAGCATGACTTACCCTCTTCCTTTGTTTTCAACTGGAACTCCTACACACAGACCCAGGTAAATGGGGAAGGTTCAAGGGAAACACTTTGTAATATAAGAAACAAAAATCATATTTTCATTAATGACTCTTAGAATTATTCCTTAAGTTTTCATCAAGAGAAGACATCCAGGACAAACCAGTGAAGTAAACCTCCTTCTTTAGAGCAGACTCTCTACACCTACAGGTGGTGCAGTTCCAGTTGTAACTCTTTCTGGGGGTGAGAAGAAATCACAGTCTATCACAGGCAGACAGTTTTTGTTCACTTCAGAAAAAAAAAAAACAACCTTTGGTAGGCTGCAAGACTATAAGCAGTTACTTTTAAGTGTAAGGTAATGTAGTACTTTAGTATGAAAAAGGAACATACAGTAAAAGTGGAAACACTAGGCAGCCTAGGAGCATTCCTCAGGCACTGGATTTTTTTTTTGAGAAATTACATATGCTACCTCTTATAAATATTGTACACACCCAAATGAAAGGTTTGTGAAACATACACTGTTTCCTTATTTTTTCTCTTTGCTAAATGCTTGAAGGGGAAAAAAGAAACTGTATCTTCATTTCCTCTTATATCTTTTCCCTATTCTCTTCCTCTACACTTTCTTACACTTGAAACCCTCTTCGTTAGTTTTTATATGGAGGTGAGAAATACCATCAGCTCAGTCACATCAACACATCTATTGCCTAGAAAAGGTAAGAAATGGACAAATTCCTACTTCTTTTTTCCTCAAAATCACATGTTAGAAAGCAAAATGACACAATCCTTTATCTGCTACTACAGAAAACATGCAACAATCCACCTAATTCTCTATGGGAATGTGGAATTAGACCTTTTTCAGACTAGTATTAAATATAGACTGGTATCATTAAACATCACCTTTCAGCTGCACTTTGCAGTTCACTTTCCCAGCTCAGCTCTCACTGGGAACAAAGACTTTGGTGTATATGAAAAGGTGGCTGAAACAGGATGTCCAGATGTGAATTTTACTGCAAGCTCTTCTCTGCTAGCACCTAAAACTGTGCCACGGGTTCAGAAGAGAAGCAGAGGTTACTCACTTGCTGATGTATTCCCCAGTTAGGACCTTTCCACAGGCCTTGCACTTAAAGCACCCCAGGTGCCACTGCTTATCCAGGGCTAGCAGTGCCTGTCCATTTTTGATGTCTCTTCCACAGCCAGCACAATCTGCAAACAAGCAAACAAACAGATGCATTTGTTGTCAGCTACTTGGTTCATTAACCTTAATTAACTGCCCACCTGTCACAACATTTGGTAGCCAAAGGGATGAAGTACACAGCAGTGCAAAGGTACATCTTCCTTTCCTCAGACCCTTCCTGGGTCCTGTACGAAGACTCAAACCTTTTTCATTACAGACATACTCAGTGGAAGAGGGAAAGTAAATCTCCTGTTTTTCACGCTGTTTGTGATTCAAAGACCACCTGGCAAGCTCTGTACAAGTTTCAGATTCTGTTCAGGAACGAGTTACAAGAAAGTCCTCGCTGCAGCAAGTTCCTTTTTTCTACAGCCATCAGTGTTTGTAGTTTTGCTTTCAGCGAGAAGCTGAGCGCTCACACGGAGCGAGCGAGGCCGAGCGAGCAGCACCGGGACTAGGCCCATCCCCGTTGGGGGGCAGCAGAGCCCCGCCAGTGGCACAGCCAGAGCGGGGACAGCCCGGCATAGGCCGGGACTGGCCGGGGACAGGCCGAGGACAGGCCGGGATAGGCCGGGACAGACTGGGGATAGCCCGGGACAGACTGGGGACAGGCCGAGGACACGCCGGGGACAGACCGGGATAGGCCGGGACAGACTGGGGACAGGCCGGGGACAGACCGGGGACAGGCTGGAGACAGACTGGGGACATCCCGAGCACAGCCCGGGTACAGCCCAGGGCAGGGGTGACAGCCCTGTGGCTGTGGAGAGGGCAGGGCATTGTTGTCTTCCAGCCGCAGGTACGGCAAACTGAAGTTCTCCTGGTCTCTAATCGGCAAAGGGGCTCTCACTCAGGAATTCTGTTACTTTTCTAGTAGTCGTTTCTCACTGCAATCCTGGAGGAGCCTGATTTCCATGCTGATGGCAGAATGGAAACCAGAAGCCAGCAGCACTCTGTCCCAGGGGGTGCCACAATACCTCATGTTACATCAGAAATCTCTAGCTCAGCCCCAAGCTTCCATTCCTCTCCCCTTCAAACATAAAATACTCAAAAAGATTTCCCGTTAAGGGGCAGTCCAGCACATGGTAAGATCTGAAGAGACTGATGTGGCAGACAGCACTGAACTGCAAGGGTTGTGCTTCTGTGCCCAGCCTCAGGGGACAGAAGGACTGAGGGAGAGGAGGGCCTGGAAGCCCAGTGAAGTGGAAAGGGAATGCCCATCAGCTGAGGCACTCATGGAAACCACAGAGGAGACAACCTGGAACAAAGGATTTTCCAGATATTACTATCCCCAGACTTGGTGTTCCTTTGGTGAATGCCTGAAACATCAACAAATAACAACAAACGGAGACAAACAGAATTGATTAATCTGAGCTCTTAAAGCCTGGGCAGCAGGGAAAGTATCACCCTGGCTCCAATGCTCAAGCTGACTGACTTTACAGGTACAGCCTGAAAACCTTCATCTCCTTATGGGTTTAAGCACAGGCAACACCATGCCTTGCAAAAGGGCAAGTCCAAGTGTATTATCACAACTGATAATGAGAGCAGTCAGTCCTTCTGACTAAAGGGCATGACTTTTGTTTGTTGGAAAGTGGGCCAAAAGAACCCCAAATATGTGTTGCCCTTTCCTGCTATCCAGGAATCTACCATTCGCATGTTCCTCTTCCTAGAGCATCCTCCTTCTTCTCAAATCCCTTAAAAAAGGAGGGGAAGGGGACTAAGCATTGTGGTATCTTGTAACAAAATGTGAATCACTTTTTGTGTGTGACTTTTGACACAACTTGGACTTGAAAAGCAGCCCTGCGATGTCCTAATATCAGGACTTTGCTCTAGAGGACGTATGTTACAAGCTGAAATCATGAAGTGACAAGGAGTGACACCGTGTAATGTATCCCTCTGCTCTGCCATGACAGCTGAAGGCTCCATGCCAGTCTGTGATGACAGCAAAGGCTGGAACAGGTCACCGAGGGAGGCTCTGGAATTTCCAGCACAGGGCTGAGGAAGGGACAAACACGTGTCAGAGTGGCTTTGGCATGCTGATCTTGGTTTGGGGAGGATACTACATCTTCTCTTGAGTTCACTTGCAGCCCTCATTTTCTTAAGTTAAATCAGAAACCATGCAACATGACTTTGACCGTGAGAACAAATGAGATCCTTCCCCCAGTTCCAGCATGTGCTGAATTGCATTTTTAAAAGAGCACCCATTTCTCAGCTCCCTAGCACTGCTGCTTCTTCCAGCAGCTTCCACAGCTGACCTGGGGCCTGTCACACTGTAATGTATTCCCTGCTCTATTTTCCCTCAAAAAATCTGCTGTATTTTCCATGCTTCTTTTTGTTTTTATCTGGGAAACATCAGTGAAACTGAAATTTCCATTAAATTTCTCAGAAATTGAATCAATGAAGAGATTCTTTTAACAAATTGTGAGGCAGTGGGAGCAGAGAAACTGCCTTACAAAAAAAGGTCTACCTAGTCCAGCATCTTTATTGATGCCACAACCAGGTACATGGGGGAAGTAGGGATTCGTGAAGTACTTCTGACTATTTAATTGCTTCTGTGTAAGCCAAAGTCACAGTAAGTCTGAGCACCAGACTTAGTATTATGCTCATGTTTAATACAAGGGGCTGGCAACATCCATTTATTATTCTATAGCACCAATGACATCTACACTCTTTCTGGGTTCCTTGAAGTGTTTTGCTAAAGGAAATTAACATCATTTCCATTCTGTTAATAGAACAGACACAATGAATGTCTAGAATCAAAGTAAACTAATAGCCCAGTACTGTTGTATTAGGTTGAGATGGCTTTTCAATAAATCTGATTTTAATTCTGGCAAAACTGTTTGGTATATACATGAAAAGCTAGCAATTATCATTATCTCCTAAAATAGAAATCAAATAGGGCTGGGCTAAGAAAAGACCATTTGTTCATCCAAATTCTACAAATAAAAGCCATTATGATCTCAGGCCTGCATGAGGCACATTTAAGCCCCTGGCTGAATGTCATCAGCATATGCAGGCAGGATCTCAGTATCACATTAAGCACAGTCTGTATCTGTCTAACCTATAACCAGCACATGCTGCAAATAAAAGGGCTGTGAGGTAAGAATAGTGGTCCACAACCATATGTCAGAGCAGACTGAAAAATCTGACTAATCCTTCCCAAATTTGTGGACAATGGATCCTACCATGGTGTTCTCTGGCTTCATACCTGGGTCTAACAGACTGCAACCCTTGAATCCGAGCTTGCACTTTCTTTTTGCCATATAACCTGGATTCTCCCTTTCTGCCATTCCTTGCACATCACACATTCAGCAGTGCCAAGATAACAAAGAGGAGGAGGCAGACAGTGCAGTGTGCTGGTTAAAATTCAGAGTGAGCAGTACAGCTCCCCTATGCACTTAGATATGTGTCATATTTGACGTGTCTGGGTACAGAAGAAAATGCCTGGACAAAAGAATTGTGCTGTGGAGTCATCCAGCCCAAAAGCATGGGAAAGTGGGGGGACAGGGCACGCCACTGTAATATAAAGTATGATCTAGACCTCCACACTCCAGCCACCTTTAGCAGCCCCACTAAAAGACGCAGGTCAGGCTGAGCTGCCACCCATGACACCTTGCTTGTAAAGATATGAGAAAATGTGTTTCCCTTTTTAGCACCTGCACCACCCCAGACATTCAGGAGTGAAGCACCCTGCACAGCAAGGCATTTGTCACTGTCTAAATAAAGCAGTGGATTTTCTGCCTTTGCCTCCCTCCCCTGCTCTCAGCCAATAGTGCACAGGTGAGCTCAGAGCTGATACAGCTGGATTAACCCTCAGCACACAGAGTAGGACTTTACCCACTCCCTTTTGGATTGCTTTAAAAATTTAATAGCAAATACAGCTTTATCCCACGTTGTCTGCTCATCTCATATGATTTATGAAAGAGAAACCATCTCTACGTGCTTTTGGCCTAATAAAGAGGGTTATGCAAAAAAAAGTCATGTGAATGTTACACCAATTCTGCTCCATGCAGGGTTAGCTCTGTGAACAAAGCTAATACCAGTCTGATTTCATGATGAATAATTAAATCACCAAAGAGTTCATTTCAATCCTGATGGCCATCAGAAGCACATATCTAATAGATAAAGTCTGAAGGTGCCACAACCCCCATGAGTCACAGGTATTCTGTACTCTTATTACACTCCTTTTGTAACTCTTTTCCCTCCTTATAAAACATTGATACATGAGTTATACAAAGACAGCACCAGCAGGCTTCTGCTCTGAAACAGGAAAAGCAGGGAAGAACTGGGGGGGATTTTTGTTATTATTTTAATACTTAAAAGAAATTAAAAGTTTTCATGGACTTACACAGAAATACATTGTCAAACACAATTGGACCTAAAGAGCAAGTGATTTGGAAATGATGAAAGAAGCAAATATTATCACTGGAGTCAAGGTCAAGAAATCTCTAAGTATAAATAGCTCTTAGTCACCTTGAAAAACAACTTATATCCCAGTAATTCTTCTGTGGCAATTTGAAGGTTGTGCAATTACAATTTCTCATAGAGGTAGGGAGACCAGAGTTCTTTCTCAATTACCCTTTAACCACAGATCAGGCAACACCTTCTAAAGCTTTGCATTAAAATTGAAAGGTTTGATGATATCATGCAGGCTTTTCCAGATCTTCAAGATATTTCTGTCAAAGCTAAAAATACAAACTCACTATGTTCACAGCATGACAAATGTTTTCAAAGTTTAAAGCATAGCCATTTGGTCACTGGGGCTGTGGCAAGTCCTGGAAGTCAGAAGGACATATAATATTGGGAGGAATTGAATCTGAGCATGTAACTCAGGAATCTTCTGCCAAACCCCTTCTCTTTGCCACTGCAAGGATGGGAAATGTTTGTCAGAACAAATTCGCTATTGCCCTTTTGCTGAAGGCAAAACAAACCCACATAGGCAGCCTCGTATTCCTGAAATCTAACAATGAGAGGCTGGGCACATACAATGGAGGGAAATAAATTTCCCATGGGAAGTGCAGTATAGCTTTGACAG